AATAGCAAGAGCAACCATAGAGCTGCACAGGAGCCAACAGTATGTTTCTGCTGCAGTATCCAAAGCAAAAGTCAAGATTTGTAGTAGAAGGAATGTCTGAGAACGACTGCATCCATCTCCTGGGGCTGAAAGAGCTCTGTTCTATTTCCTACTGAATCTTGGTTGTGAGGTGTCCAGGATGTTAGCTGAAGTCCTTGATCTTGGTAACTTTTATTGGCATAGTTGTTTTACTACAGCCTGAAAGTTTGGAGAGATAAAACAGAAGAGTAATAGCCAAACAGAGCCTGTTCTTGAGGACAGTCACAAGAGGATATTGTTAATTAATTTATATTTGAGAAGACTTGCTTGAATGCCTTATGCTAACACTTTTACTAGCGAGTCTGTAGCTCTCTCAGCATTTATTATGAAGATGTCAGAAACATTAGATATAGTTTTGTGCATAAAACAAATGGGCTTGGGTGAGTTGGGTGAGAATGGAAAAGATCATTTCGCTGAAACAACTTCTGATTTGTTTTTGGAAATTGAATTAGATTTCATAGGCAGGTAAGACCGGGAGAAAACTGGTTATGAAATCAAGTCTGTTGCAGACAGCTACATAAATCAGTTCAATGGTAAAATATCTTGCTCCATGTAAACTAATGTAAACTAGGTTTGCTTTAAGACACTCCTACAGTCGGCTGCAGCTTTTCTTCTGAGGAATAGAAATATTCCTCTAACTTCAAGGGTAGATAAAACTGATTATTTCAACTACAGATATTTTTGTTAACAGAAAAAATAGTTTTATAAATAATTTTGTACTTTGCCTTATGATCCTTGTGGATCATATTTTTTTAGTAATATACCACACAGTCTACCACACAGTAATATACCAAACAGTTCTATTGAACTGTTTTTAATTAATATGCAACTGTAAATTACTTGTTTGAATATAGGTATGTATTTCCTATTGTACTGACCCGTTACTAAGCATGGGCTAATAACATACTGTAATTCGAACAGAACAAATGATTTTTCTTTTTGCTTTTTATTTCATTATGCTAGTTATGAAAAGGGCAAAATCATTTTCATTTGATCAGGAAGGATATTTTTTCCTGATCGTAATATTAGATTCAAAATATAACATTCAAATCAAGTAGCTGTGTCCTAACCTTCATAAGGGTTTATTTTACACTAAATTATTTTCCTAAGTTATATCCATGAGTTTTAATTTGTCCTTTTTTTTTTTTTTCCATTGCATAGATGGAAAGACTACAGCGCTGTTGCTGTTAACCTCAACATACTCAAAAGAGTGTAACAGAGAACTATGGATGACGAATTTGCAGAAAGAATATCTCATTTATCCTGGTTTCTTGCACTTAAGAAGTTAAAGCACCTGAAACACTATGTATTGCAGGATTGGTCATATATCTCTGTATACTAACAGTATATGACATCTTGGTTAACGCACTATGTGTTTTGGAGGTACATGCTTTATCCTCTTGTTCAGCAAGGGTAGCTTGTTACTACAGTATGTCAGGTCTTGGGCTTGCCTCTCTTTGTATTTTTGTATACATATTTCTCAAAGAAATAATGAAAATCCAGTGGCCAGGCTGCTTTAGCTGGCCCTGCTATTAGTATCGGGGTTGGACTAGACAGTCTCCAGATCCCTTCCAACCTCAGCTATTCTGTAACTCTGTTTTGCAGATGAGCAAAACTTTCTTTGCTGCTGCCTAAGAGGGTTTGTTACTGAAAACTTAACTAGGTAATAAAATTGAAATAACTCAAATCAGCAGAATAGGATAGGACTAACCTTTGCGAGATGTTGCTTCAAATAAAGGGCCAGGTGCAATTTTTCAATCTTTTATTTCTTTATTTTTTCTCTTTTGGATCTTAAGAAAATACTTTAGTTAGCTTATATTTTGGAAATTTTTAACAACACTTTTTTCTGGGAAAAAAAAATGTTGGTTCTCTCATAAATGAAAGTCAATGAGTATTTATTAATTCATCAAACCTTTAAGTGTCTGAAATAAAAAGAGTTTTCAAGCACTGAGAACTAAAAATAACCGTGGTACTAGTTGTCTCAGTATGCCATAAATGAATTGGTCCCTCCTAGAATGTTAGTGATTTGCCTTCTTTTCAGGTTGTCAAGAAATCAATGTATTTAATTAAAATAAAGAGTACAAAATACTGTTCTTGCAATGAGTGCAGACCTTCAAAGTTCTTCACAAACACTGATTTGTGCTTCTAAAACGCCTGAGATAAGTGAGTGTGAATAAGGAAACTCAGGCAAGCTGGACTTGAAGGGTTTACAGATCAGTATTTGAAATTTTCACAAATTTTATGAGAGCCTATGTCAGCAAAAGGTAGATTATATATATATATATATATATATATAAAAATTATATATTATATTATATATTTATTATATATATATGTTTCATTTTGCTAGATTTAAAGCTTTTTTCATGTGGTTGTAGCTGTTATATACCTAGCAAACACTCAGAATGACTCAACATCACATGTTACCTTTTCTTGGCTAAGCTGTGGCACATGACTGTTCCCTAATATATTGGTAATGCGGGTAAGCTGAGTTATCCTAAACCAGGGATTCTCACACTTGAGAGCTCTGCCTCACTTGAAATTGTACGCAAGCTTTCATGCCTCTCTTGCTTGAGCTCCCTGTCACTTTTTCCTTGCTTTCTGGTGGGTCTTCAGATTCCTATTCCTCTTGCTTACTACTCCTACTCTGGAGCTGCTGCCACTCTTCCCTGCTGCTAATGCTTTCCACGGAGATTGATATAATAGACCTCACTGGACGTGGCTCAAGGGGTCCTATATTGTGTTCCCAGACCACTCTGCAAAACACTTAGGTGTTCCTGTGTTGAGCTGACAGTGTCTGGGTATTATTTTTCTAGCCTGGTCTCTGCTTTACCTTGCCTGTGACGAGGTGTCTTCTGCTAATGCCTTGTCAGTGACAGCATACTTTGTAAACTGCTGATTTAAGCCACCTTTAGGATGGTAAAGTGAGTGCAACTGAATTTTGACAAGCAGAAGCTAATAAATATATATATATTTTCTAATTTGAACTATTTCACCCATTGTTGGGCTCTTAATTGACTGTAACCACTTGTTCGGAGTGACAGCTAAAATGTTTTACCGAGTCCTCGAAGGTTTCTAGTGAATATAAACCCATGGTCACAAACTACAAGATAACAAATAATGTATGATGTCTGTAATATTATGACATCTCCAGAAATATTGTGTCCATTGGTGGTTACTGTTTAATATAGGATTTAGAATTTTGTAGAAGGCTTCGAGTACTGAGAGCCTGACAAAACTGATTTGTGAAAAGAAGTGGAAAGAGCTATTAGTTTGGTGGGCTGAACTGTATGCTTCATTATTTTATATCCTCTAACATTTAAAGTAACGTACTTAAGTTTTTCACGGCCTCAAGATGAAGGGAAATCTTGCGGAACTGAAAGGAACAACAGACGTAAAACTATACATTATTTTTACATGCTTATCATACAGAAATGGGTGTTAATATTGAGACTGAATGCTGCACTGAAATTGGAGAGTTAGGTACCTAAAATGTGAAGTGCAAGTAGATTTTTAAGCACCTTTGGCTGAAACATCCCAATTCTCTCCTTTTAGCAATTTTTGAGAGATGTGTTGGGTGGTTTTTTTTTTTTTTTTTTTTTTTCCTGGAGAGTTTTCTGGTTAAATATTACATGATGCAAATGGTTAGAATAGCTCCATCGGAGTGGAGCTAAAGGTATCGAGATAAAACACATTAGGATCCAGAAGCTATATGTAGAGGAATACTATTACTTATATATGGACTTCTAGCACTCCGCACCTTTTTCCATGCTGGACTCAATTTTATAGGGAGCAATCCCCATTACCTCCTTTCAGAAACACAGCTGTAGGGAGCAACTGGTAATGCCTATATTTTAGGCAACTGTATACAGGCTGAAAAAAGTTGTTGATACGCTATAGCCTCTACTAATCCAAATCTAGAAGCCTTTAAGGCCTGTTTCTTCCTACTCTTCTGTTCCCTCTTTGCCTAGAAACAGTTGATTGGAAATGTTGAATACATATCTTACAGGCAAAGGGAATATGCCTCTGAATCCTGTTTTTAAGGCACACCACTTTAAATTTGGGGTTCCAGGCCCCAAATTTGTTGTCTAGCTTTAGGTAACAATACATAAAACGGTAACTGGATAAATGCAGACATAATTATAGAAGCAGAAAGCCACACTTAGAGTCAGTCTGGTGATGAAGGATTTTTTTTTTCCTGTAGTTGGTGATGAAAACTCCCCCAGGAGTGTCATAATTGTAATGACAAATATTTACTATAAGATAGTCTTCAACCAAAAACTGACAGTAGATATTGAAAAGAGGTTACTAGACCCTATGTCTTTACTGGGGCTTCCATGAGTCAAGCAGTAAAAGGTGGGACATCCCAATTTAGCTTCGTACCTCAGCTGTGGCACAGGGATGACTCCTGAAGGAGTGCTCAGTCAGCTGAGACCGAGTTCTTTTCTTAATGGCGAGCTCAATTACTGCATTTGATGTTCTGTTCTTGTTTTCAGGCACTGCCATGGTGATATTCCCAGTAAAAGACTATGAAATAACAGCCAGTGCCTTAGAGTTTGTGAACCCTTAATGTTTTTGTAATAGACTGGTACTCTTTGGTATCCTCACTTCAAAATGTCTATGGGATGTCTGAAAAATGTCTAGAATGAGTCTACAGGACTTATTTAAGGTGATCCTGAGTAGTTATCTGCCTTGCATTATTTATTAATCCATTTATTTTATCACATAGTGTTGGAGATTTGCTTGCAGGTATTCACTAGTCATTGTTAATGAGTAGTTCCAATTTAAGTGCTGAAGCACTAATATGTTAATAACATATCCTGTGGACCACAGACATATGAAATTTTCACCTCAGCCATCAGAAATATTTGCGACTACAGTAAGAGCTTGAATATATTTTAAATCCAAATTCTTAATTTATTCTGATTTATGTTTTTCTGCTTTAGGCCAGAGCTATGATAGCAGTTGGACTTGGTGTTGCAACTGTTGCATTTGCAGGTAAGCTAAATTACTAACAGTGTGTGGAACTGGCATTTGTCAGATGTTATTTCCAAAAGGATGGAGTTCTTGGGAACGTAAATAAATTGGGAAATAGAAAGGTTGCCCAAGATTGATGCTGAAGAATTGTGTCCAGTTGTAGTTCCTGACCTTTCAAAATCCTTGACACAATTCCAAAATGCTTTCTGAGGAAGCCACAGCTGAAGAAGCTACTTTTACGGGCACCAGCTAAAGGAGTTTGTTCTGTGTTTTTTGTCTTCAAAAGGTAATGTGAAAAGATGACTTTTTTTAGCATGCTGCTAAGGCTAAGCTCTTTAGTAAAGAAGAACACAACTGGGTCTTCTAGCGGGAAGGTGATACTGTACAAATTCTGGGGGAGAAAAATAAGTTTCTAGAAGCTATAGCAATTTATTACAGTAAGCTGTTTCTGTAGTGTTCTGTCTGTTACCTGAACTCTTTTAACTGGATTGTATGTTCTTCTGAAAAATGGGTTCTAGTTAGACGCCAGGTCATGGTCTTAATGTGACTTCACGTGATGGATTACTCAGACTAGATTACAGTGGTGGTGTAGTCTGGTTTTGAAATATACACATTGATTTTCATTACTTTCAGGATGTCAGATAGGCCACATCTAGCTATGTACAAATGTTCTTAACAAGAATAAAAGCATTTTCTTACCAAGAACAAAAGCATTAGATGAACATGTTGCACCAAGCCTCAGCAGGTGTTTTGTGGCTACTGCTGTTTTTTAAGGGAAGGAAAGACAAACTCTTTAATGGTGGATGAACAGCCGTTAAGCAGTTGATTAATCTATGTGTTTGTGTAGATCCAGGAGTATTTCAGAATTTCTTCTCCTGGCTGAATTGTAGAATTAATGACAGATAGCAAAGTGGTAAGAGAAAGCCATAGGCAGGTGTAGCAGTATATTAATACACCACAATTTTTCAGCTGTGATATTCCACTGATGGCTTTAACTTCTTTCTTAGTATAGCTGCATGTTTACATGGCTGGATAACCTATGTAGACACACCATATTTTGAGAATGAAAACAAGATACTGTCTGAATAATGCCATGCCTTTTTATTAAACAGGTTACATTGCTAATGAAAAATTAATCAACACAAAAATTGGGTGAAAAAGGACTTGAATGGAAAGTCCTATAGCAGCATAGTATAGATCTTGATTTTGAAATTGTATGCTTCCAACAACAGTGTAATGCAAGGTCACTTTGCAGAGTTAATATAGTCTTTCTTAGCTATAGACACATTTACTACCAATGGGGAGTTAAATGGTTGTGAATCCCAAAGATCCTCTCTCCAACTAAATAAAAAATGCAGCACTTGCAAAATGTATGAGTAAGCCTATAAAATCACAGCAAGAAGCATGTAGTACCTACATTTATTTTTCTTAAGACATAAGCTTTGAACAGTATTTAGTAAATAATGTATATCCAAAGCTGAAATTACATATTGCCCTCTTAAAGTTCACAAGGCAGATGTCTCAATTTCTCATATTGAAATGCATTTGAATCTATTTATTCTGTGAGCGAACACGAATTTTGCAGGCCATGGTTAGATTTCTAAATTAAGTATATAAAACTTATTCTTTTTTTTTTTCGTCCCCATAGTACAAAGATTAAAAAATATAAACCATTGCAAGCTTATCATGGGACTTCTGCTGGGCAGGCCTCCAAAACTGGCTGTTCAGGGAACATCTTGGAAAGCAATAAAGTACAACAGTGTTGGAGAGCAATAAATGAGATGAAAAGATTAACAATGAAGAAGGATTTTTAAACCAAAATTATTCTTGCTATAAGCTAGTGAACAGATGTCAGTGTGTTGTGTTTTTGTCTGCATGTGGTTGCTGTTTGTTTGTTTGTTTTCATTTTTTCTTTCTAGTGAATGTTGATTAAAATTTCTTCTAACTTCAATCAGGGCGTTATGCATTCCACCTCTGGAAACCATTGGAGCAAACAATCACAGAGACAGCAAAGAGGATTTCAACTTCTGTAAGTTTAGAAGCTACTAGTTGCTAATTATATGAATCTATATTTCAAGTATTCAAAAAGGAAACACTTTGCAGAATACAGAAAGTGCATTTTTTTTTTCAGAATAGGGCTGTTCCTTACTCCATATGTTCTGGTGTTAATATGATACTTTTAAACACCTGTAAATGAAGCTATAAGCCATATCAAAGTTGTTTCTGAGATCTGATAAATGGTTTTAATTTTCCTGAAGTGATGTTGCGTTTTTCACAACTGTTTGCCAGTAAGTTTATGACAAATTGCTAAAGTTAACTGAAGTGGTCTATGGGTTACAAAGTGAGGACTGCAGTTTCCTCTTAAGGAGCTGAAAACTAAAGTTTAGTCCTTAAGTCTGGGAAACAAATTGATAGGGAAACTTCCAGAAAATGTTGCCAAACCTGGAAGAGGGGAAGAGAGGAAGCTTTTTTTTTTTTTTGCTGTTCACATGAATTGTCTGTTATTTTGTGTTCTCCGTGTTTAACCGACATATTATTGCATTTTTAAATAAGTAATGCAATAGAAATGCCATAATAGTAGAGGGAGAAAATTGAGTGTTGTCAAAGGAGCATATACAGGGAATATTCCAGAGTATTGGGGGGAGTTGTTGTTGTTTGTTTGATTTTTGATGGATTTTGCTGATTATGCTGTTTTCTGGTAAATAAATATTCATTCTTGTCTGAGTGAAGTAATTCTCAGTGAGAAAGCTCTCTCCTCGTTTAAAGGATACAGTGCCATTTTTGGTGCTGGTGGGTGAGGAAAGATGTTGAGAGTAGAAGTTGTAGATTATCATCTCCTGAAAACCACATTAAAGGTAGATTTTGAAAAAGTGCTGATTAGTGTCATGCCTATATATGTGAGGCCAATTACAGTGCAGGGCTTTCCTATATGCTGCATATTAAAAATGGGCAGAATTTTTGAGTCCAGATTCATTGACTGCCTGTAGGTTCTGAAGGTGCAAGCTGGATCATTTGATGGAAGGCAAAGACGCTTGAAACATGGACTGGCCCATACTTCTCCTTCATGGAGATGCAGATAAGCCAGGAATGGTGTTTCTGTTCTATTTTCTGTTCTCTGTTTCTTCTTGCATACCTACTGTGTGGCCAATGTCAAAAAAAAGCTTTTTCTTTTTCAAATTCTCTTTTGAAGAGATTCCAATTTTGCCTGCCACAAAGGCAAAAGGGACTTGCAGGTACTGTGAATTCTGATGAATGTATACAATGTGTACACTCTGGCTTACAGGTTTACTGAAAAAGAATTAGTTATAAAAAAGTGTGGCTTCAGGCTGGCACGGGCTTCACTCTTCATCCTTCCTCTCCACAAATTTTACTCCAGCATTCTTTTCATATATTTGTGGATATAAGCCCTAGTGTCTAAATGCAGGCATGCAAACAGAAAGAATTCAGACAGTGACTGTGCTTAACACATGGAAATACGACATGTAGCTGCCCGGGGAAGTGTCCGGTCTGGGAAACTGCAGTCCTGAAAAGCAGCATCCTGACTGAGCCAAGCTCACGGTGGCCAATCTCTTTTTAATCTTAATGACTTTTAGTCATATAGAATTAATGAACAACTGAAAAGAGCAACCTGGAAGCATCTAAATTCTCACTGTGTTTCTAATCACTGGACTTGCATTCTTTTTCTGCCTTCAACCCTCTCCTTCAAATGTAGAATTTCATGTTGATCTCAAGTGCAATGTGTTTTTAAACTCTTGTCTAATTCTCAACCAAGGTATTTAGCTTCTTGTTCTACAGCTGTTTTCTTGTATGTGTGGGGGCTTCTTTGCCATTTACAATCTTTAAAGCAATGGAAAGAGAAAACATAAATTGAAAAGTAACTTATCTCTCTAAGTCCTTTTTGCCCAAACTGCATATTTTTACATCCTTACTTGATCTTCTTTGAGGATTTTGAAGCTGCTGAATATAATCTGTGGCTTAGCTCTTTCACTGCCTCTCTTTACAACATATTGCCTTCTAAGCCTGCTAATTGATGGAAATCACGTAGTTAGTACTTCTACATGAACCATGTTATTGGGGAAAAAAACGTTTGCTGTGATGTTTAATGTCTAGGTTGAGTGTTACTCTTCTGTTTTCCTGTGGTGCCTGGAGGCTCCTAAGTCACTGGAGTTTTCCATAGTTACTGCAGCTTTCTAGAATCAACCCCTTTTCCTCATGACCTCCTCTTGTGGGATGCTATGAAAGAGCCTTGTATTTCTAAGCTAGCTTGTTCTTTTTGTGACCTTTTCCGTTCTCCCTCATTTGAAATTCCTTTTTTTCCTGTTAGCAGTAGGAGTCACAATTCATGATAGCTGCAGCCTCAGAAAATAATTCATATGCTGCTTATCCTTTCTTCCAACTCGTTAATAAGTTAGGTAAAGTGGAACAGAGCAGTTAGGAAGAGATCAATTTAAATGTTACATTTGAGTCTCTGTCCCTTTCTGGTTTTTTTTTATATATATATATAAGTAAATAACATGTATAGTGAACAATTAGACTCATCTTTTAATTAAAAGTAGCAAGTAAAACTTGTTCTGTTTTGCTCCAAATTTCTATCTCCCATTTAGTTTTAATTATGACAATTATATAGACTTAAATTTGAACAGTAAATACTGCTCTGATTTATTTTTCACATTTTCTCCTGTATTATTTCAGTGGAAGGAGACATAAGAATGAAAGGGGAAACGCTGCCATTTCCCCTCTGCAGCAAGCCCGCCTGTCTTTGTTTTTTTGTTTTGTTTTGTTTTTTTGGGATGGGGAGAAAAGGAGTGAATAGCAAGTATTTCAGTGGCCTTACCTGCTGGAGCTATGACGTTGAAGACTGACCTATAAAAACAGCAATTCCAGGCAAAATGAACCTTTAAAATCCATAAATTTCACAATCCCAAAAGTTTTGTATTCCAGGTGGAAAGGGTTTCTTCTCTAGCGCTTCATTAGAGATTCTGCAGTACTTCACCCTTTGCACTCCCTTTCTCTGATTGGATCTGATTCTGCTCGGGTGCAAAGAATCCTGAATCAGACGCAAGGGTTGCAGTCGTGTCTTGTCACTCACTGAAAATAAAGCGTCTAAAGATAATTTGCAGTCTGAAATCTTCCTGAGTATAGTTAAAGGAGTGAAAGCTGGGTTGAGCAAATTATTTGATATATTATAACACATCTTTTAAGTAGTTTGTTAATATATTGTGCTTTTGTTTTTGCTTTTTTTTCTTCCCTTTTTCCAGTGTTTGCCACCTTTTTATTGGGAGCTATACTGTTGGTAGAGCAGCATGCAGAATCTTGAAGGAAAGAAAAGACACTACTTCATGTACTCTGATGTAATGTCTGGCCTCTGTTGCAGCCTTTTGCATCTCTGATCTGGCAGGGGAACAGCAATCACATTTACCCTGTGCAGAGCATCGCAGTGCTAATGAATCAGATTTTTAGTTGACTGCCTTTTGTGAAAATTTGCAGGAGCGAATACATATTCACAGAGCAAACTCAACTCATGTTTTCCCCCCTCCCCTTCTGCGCCTCCGCACACTTTTTGATAGAACTTGTTAAGGATTAGCAGCAGAATTGGCTTATAAATTGCTAACCAGTAACAACATGCGAAAGGAAATCAAATAAAATGGGCGCCCCCCCAGTGTGAAGAAAGAGAGGAGTTTTCGATGATTTTTTTCCTGCATAGAAGTTATTTGTGAAAGTCAGGATTAATAATAAAGTGATGGAACTGCCCAGTCATCGAAGAGTTCTCTTAGCAGAAGAATAGCAAGTATTGTTGTGTTTTGCTCCTGCCATTAGTTGCAATTAAAAACATAAGAGATGATTTTGACTTAATATAAATAGCATGCAAAAGTTGTTCTGTTTGGGGACTAGAAATTTGACAAGACGGATCCTAAAACTAAGACTTGGTGTTTCTTCTCCTTCCTCCAACCAAGGGGAAAAGTAGCTTTTAAATCTATTTTCTTTTTGCTTTTTATTCCATTTAGAAGCAGGATCTTAATTTAAGGAATTGATTATTCTTGCCATATGCCTCGCTTCTGAGAAGAAAGTGCTTTTCCTTGATGACCAATTCAACATGATGTTTTTGAAGGCTCTGCTTCAGATTTGGTTTTGTGCCAAAAGGCATAGACCACAGGATTTCTTTTTTCATTCCTCTTGGAAGCTGAGTTGAGACTTCTTGAGGTTATAACAATGTCAGGGAAGTGCACTTTAAAAACATGAGAAAGTATTTCTGAATTTAAGCCTACAGCCATCCCTCCCTAGTCTCTGATTTCAAATGAGCTCGTGTGGTCAGTAATTCAGATGAAGACTGCCACGATTAGAGAAGAGCTATGTTGGAGACTATTAAAATATTGCTCTTCTCTGTGAACCAGTGTCCTCCTCTATCACTCTTCAGGCTCCCTTTTTTGGGGCGTAGGGCAGTTTTGGAAAATGTTTCACAATACATTATGTTTCTGTTTCTATCCCTGCACTGCATTGTTAGATACCCTTGTTGAATGTCTGTGCAGCTTTGCCTCTCAAAGACCTTACCCAATGATTTGTAGGACATCAGGATCACTTCTTGAAGGACTAGAGAAGGCCAGGTATGTTCCCCAAGTGTTACTTATTCCAACCTGTAACCCTTCTGTGCCCTAGGGCAGATTGGCTCTGCATTACTCTATTGCAGTGGTTCTTCAGCAGGTTTCTTGCTGCAGGCATGGCCTGTCTGCAGTTGCTTCAGTTTTGCTAACTGAAGTGTTACAGTAGTAGATACTTGATGGATGGTGTCAGGGGAGATGAATAAGAAAAAATTGATTCAGATCACAGCATCACACCTGGAAATCTCAGGGATGTATGTGATTGCATGGCTACATTGCCTCTGGAGATTGTTTCTTGGTAGCAGGTGAAGTATTTCTGAACAGTACTTTTGGGTCACTGTTGCTCCTAATCTTAATTAAAGGCTATGCTTAGATATAACTAGAGCCTTTAAAAATGTTTTAATGCTTTGGAAGTTAGCTAAGACAGAGCTTATGTAAACGTAAGGCAAAATTCTTATTGGATGTGAATGGCATTTAGTAGCTGGTGGGAGAAAATGTTTCATTAAGGGCTGGGCACATTTTTTCCTTGGGGGTAAAAGGAACATTAAAAAAAAAAAAAAAAAGAAAATCTCAGTTCTCAAGCCAGACTTCCCTTTGATAGCAACAAAGGAAGCTTATTTTTCCCCAGCTGATAAATTTTGCATTGAGGAAGGAACTTCAGTCTTGCCGAGTGATATTTCTGCGTGCCGGTTCCCAAAGGCGGCCCGTCTCGCAGCTACATCTGCTGCCTCTGGGGCTCGTGCAGCTTAGAGGGTTGTTTGTGTGGCAGCAGGAGGGTCCTTCAGTTTTCTAACAAAAGCATTTGCATTGAGGAGATCATAGTTAACAGTCAGTGGTGGTTCAGTAACATTTTATTTCATTTAAAAATGCATTTTTGGGTTGACAAATATACTTTCAACCCTTTTCCCTCTAATGACAATTAAATTGTTATAATTATTTGCTCTAATATCCATCTTGTTCTCTTTCATTTTCTTTTCCTGCTCTTTTTTCTTCCTAAAGAATTGCTGAGTTCTTATATGCTAACGAGTTAACAAACAGACAAAATTCAAAGCAAAAAAACCCTGTTTCTAATCATTTTCAATAATGGGCATCTAGGAAAGGGCGTAAGGGCAACCTAATCTAGAATTTCCTGTGTACTTTGCTACTTTCCAGTGTTTTGCTGCAAAGGAAGGTTGTAGCTCTGTGCTAAACTTTTACTTTTTTTTCTTCTTGCTTTGCTTTGTGTTTTTTTGTTTTGTTTTTGTAAAACTTGTTTAATCACTCTTGAAATCCATGTAACCTCAGCCGTCCAAAACACCCCTTGGCAGTGAGTTCCAGGTTTAACTCAACAATGTGGAGAAGTGCCTCCCTTTTGTTTTCAGTCTGCAGCTTTCACCTGGTGCTCCTTGTTCTTTTATTATGTAAGTTGGTGAATGATCTTTTGCCGTGAAAGCTATTTTATTCCTTCTTGTGGTCTTCTGTATATATATATGTATGTATATATATATTTATATATGTATATTTTTAATCCTGATGTTTGCCTTTAAGGTAAAGGCAAAAGAGATTTATGGACATTATTGAGAGGAGGGCAGTGTTTGTTCATACTGGTTTTCATTTCCATTCTTCGATAGATAGTTGTGTCTTTATACATGTATATGCTCTCCTGACAAGTGCTAAGCATAGAACTGAAGTTTGCATATTGTTTGTTAAAATTCTGGGAGGCTTTTCCTATCTAGTAAAAGCTTGCATATGTAGAGATGACTCTTAACCTGAATCTACATATCCTGTTTCTCAGTGTGTTGCCTTTTTTTATTTATTTATGTTGAATTCTTTTTACAAATTTGGGCAATTGAATGTGGCATTGGCACAGGTGGCCCCTTGGGAATTCTTTGTTGACCTTCTTTCACAGAGATGGTTGACTGTTTGCTGCTGTCTTTGTGCAAAGCACTTGTTTGCCCGTGTGAAGACATTGTCTCCTAAACCATAACTGCCTTGTCTTTTTTGGATTTCTGATGAAGAATTTGACTTAAGGGACCAGTCGGAATCTTTTGGAAATGCAACCAAATTATATACAGCAACCAAACTACATCAACCAGGTCACTCTTGGCTGCATGGTAAATGATTCTGTGAAGGAATTGTTTTTGAGGTATTGTTCCTCGTAAAGAAAAAGCACATAGACTATTCATCAGCATACAATATTTATCTGTTCTTATCCTTTTGTTATAGTTTAGATAGAAAGATCTGGACATCCATAATTCCTTAGATGTCCAAATAATTTTAAAATGTTGATGTTGCATTTGCAGCTTTCCACTGCAGCGGTGCCAAAGCTGTTTTAAACAAGACTCTTCCTTGGTCAGCCCTCCTGCCTCCCCCTGCACACATACAGAGTGTATCACTGCCTGCCAGTGCATGCTGTGATTCTGCACTGTTTTGTCTGAAAACAGGAATTTTATAGCCGTAGCTATTACCTTGTTAGTAATAGAAGATAGTACAAGCAGAGTCATCTTTAAGTCAACTTTTATATGTGTTAAAACGCAAGAAAAGACCTTTGATACTCTCTGGTTTGTACTTTTTCCATACCTTCAAAATAAATTACAGAATCATGTAATGCTCTGAATAGGGTCATAGATTAAGATTTAGGTTCTGACACCTTGTATGTGGAACTAATTATTTCCTGTGTTTCCTTTCTTTTTCATAGAGTCTTTCATCATACTATAAAGGAGGATTTGAACAGAAAATGAGTAGGCGGGAAGCTGGTCTTATTTTAGGTGTAAGGTAGGTGTGTTGCACTAATATGTTTTTGTTCTTTGATGAATGAAAAAATCCATATGGCAAGAATATGGAATAGTCTGCCCAAATCCTAACTTTATTTCTTTAAGGCTTCTAATGCTCGTAAACCATTTTAATATTCTCCTTAAGCGAAAAAGCAAACAATAGATACTAGTAAAACACATGACTTGTGTTCAGCTTGAAGGCATAGTAACATATTGCAGTGGAGAACAGAACTGGTGCTCTAGAAATAATCAAAATGGCACATACTATGCTAATCAGCGTGATCACATGGCCTGTTCTCAAAAAAAAAAAAAAAGAAAAAGAAAAACCTTTGAGATAAGCAATACTGTAGATTGTATTAATAAGGAAAGCAAAACAATTTTGCTCTTTTTTTCCCTTAAGTCATTTTTTTTCTTCCTCTTTGATTTGTTTGGGTTTAAAGAGTTGGTGCATACTCCAAATGAAAATATTCAGAGAGAATTGTAATTTAGAGCAGGTATAGGAAATCATTTTCAGGCGGAGGATTTGATAGATTTTTGTTGTTGTTGTTGTTTTTTCCTGAAGTATCTGAATGACTAGTGTTAGCATCCATGTCAGTGTTTTCCATAAAAACAGTGGGTTGTAAGGTTCAGCAGGTGGGAGGGGGCAGATCTACCTTCTAGTAGTTTTCTTTTTCTAGTTCAGATTGGCTCTGAATTTAAACTATTTACTCATGTAAGGGGGACTGTGCAGATGTAACATTCATTTTACAAAATTGTAAACTAAAAGATTACATTAATTTGAAATATTTCATGCTTGCACACCAAGCAGGAAATTAATAGGAGTGCTACTCAGACATATTTCCTTTGACCTTTAAGTCCGATAAGTATTAACATTTGAGCTTATAAGGGCATATTCAGTGATATTCCAGAGTAGCACACTGCAGCTTATTGAAGTGTGTTTACATTGGCTCTGCTTAGCCTCAACACTGCTCTTTTACACCTGAAATAAAAGATGTGAATGCATTCTTCATCATGTGTCAAATCAGAATCTGCTTGTTTTTTTGGCTTTAATAGCTTGGGTCTACACCTAGAATAGTGACGCTGCTTGGTGTGTTTGGGCTCAGTCCTGCAAATGCCATTTGAGAGAAATTATTCTTTACTGTTTAAAGGATTGAGTCTTTAGTTTCATAGAATCACAGCTAACATCTTTACAGGAAGCTTTTTTTGCCATGTTTAAAAACACCTTTATGCGCCAGGTTTACCTCAGTGTTCATTTAATTAGAGATATATGCTTATAACAGTGCTACCTGTGCTATGAGAGTGCTATGGGGAAAAAAAAAAAAAAGCTAGTTTTATAGTGTTAGGGAAGCTGTTAGGGGATGCACAAACCAGATCTGACTCAACACTAACCTTATTATTGTGACTTTTGTCCTGCGTGACGTTACTTCCAAATCATATTAAGCTTTAAGGCAGAGACTTTCTTCATTATGTTGGGTGCCAAGTGTGTATGGGCACTGTAGAAATAATAAACATAAGACATGCCAAAGAAGAGCATTTAACCATTGCTTTTGCATTTCATATGTGCTGACTTTTATACATTTTTTGAAGGTCACTCAGCAATAACCATCCAAAAGGATTATAGTATTTCTAGTAAAAGCATATTGCTTTTAAGCTTTATAAAAGGCTTTGCACACTACAGATATTGTATTGGAAATAGTCAATAATTTAAAATGTTACTGTTCTTCCATTAGTTGTCACGGAGCAGGCTTGATTACTGTTAGCGTAGTGTTAATTTTAACCGTTAAATATGATGTGGAAGGAACTGCTGCTAAGAGAGGAGGAGGAATGTCTGAGATGAGATGGGAGGTGAAAATGTTAGGAGATTTTTCCAAATAACAGACAAAGCTAACCATAATGGTTTGCTACCATCAGACCCTTATACTTAACTTTCTGGAATTAGCTAGTGTCTGGTAAATATATATATATATAAAAAAAAAAAAGTAGAAAAAGTCTAAGTTTTAGCGAGAGGAAAACCTGTGATATCAAAAGGTTTTGACAAACCAAACTATGGTTTAACAGTGGAATTTTCCTTGGTATGACTAGGAGTATTCAGTGATCAGTTATGCTTCCAGAACATGCGGTCTATTATAAACTGTTCCATTTGCAGGGTATTTCAGATTAAACAAATCTGGTTTATATTCCATAACTGAATTATTTTCCACAACTGCATTTTTTTTCGTAATTTGACTTTTGTGCTCAGAATTTCTGAATGTGGTGTATCAAGTTTCCTTATATTTTTACAGTATTAAACAAGGAATTTGCAGATCAAAATGTGGATAATTGTTATCTCTAGCTATCTGAGAACAAATCACTTTGTTTTGGAGCTATGTAGTTCAAGGCCCTTCACCCTCTCTTAAATCTTTCTTTCAGGATTGTATTGTTCTCTTGAAGTGTTCTTATATTGTTCCCTTGAAGTATTCTTTTTTTTTTTTTTGGTGCAGTTCTGTGAAATATTTTTGCAACGTACTCTAAATTCCCTGTGACAGAATAATAATTACTGGTTGTTTACTTCAGGAATGCAGTTAGGCTGATACCTTGCATTCAAATTGTACCTACAAAAAGATTAATTAATTGAATTATCACTGATTAAGAAGTGATCTGAAGTGGAAAACACTGCTTCGTTTCTGCATGCTAACAAATTGCAAAAAATAAAACCATTCAAACTTAAATATTACTGTTCTCTTGCATACCATAACCTATTGTGCTGGCACACTGCATCCCTAAGTGGTTATTTGTCTGGTAAGGTACGTATTTAATTTAGTTGAAGTACATGTTTTACGTATCTGTCATTGAAGGAAACAACATTATGTAGCACTTGTAAATCAGCATGTCCCTGAATGTAACACATTAAACAGCTTTGCAAAAACAACAAATACAATTTTTTCAGGCCCCAGTGGAAAGAAGAATTGTTTATAGCTGCAATAATAATATTTACAGTAGAATACAATATGGTAATTTTAAATATTTGTTGTTTTGTCATTGGTCATATAAACACCCATTTTCTAGGAGAGAAAAGAATATTTCCACATTAAATCATAAGAATGGAAGGTAGATTTACCATAGAGCTTTTCTTTTTTAGGTGTTTTTAGGAGAGTTTTTTAGTAGTATTTGGATGTGGCATTTTTTTATTTTGTTTACATAGCAGTGAATGTTTTGAGTTCAAAAAAACCTTTAAAGATATTTGTATGTTTCAAATACGTAGGCTTTTTAAAAATACTCTTCTCTAAATGTCTCCTGTGCCTTTGTTAGCGTGTTACTTCTTCAGAGATGCAGTTTTGTGTTTTGTCCACAAGATGGTGAAAATCCCAAGTTTTAATTGATTTTACAGCCACTGTAAATTGTTAATTTATAGCCTGGGTTTGGTGGAATTTATGGTAAGCACTTCAATTTATTTTTGTAGTCCGTCTGCTGGCAAGGCCAAAATCAGAACAGCCCATAGGAAAATCATGATTTTGAATCATCCTGATAAAGGTAAGTAATTCTTTTTCTTAACCGACACTGAAAAGTAGAGGCTTAAATGAGATCCTTCAGTTTGCTGTTTGTGTGAATGAACACAGTCAGTGCAAGTGTATGATATTTAGTTTCTCTGCATCTTTGTCACTGCTAAAACACTGATCCCTAAAGGCTTTATGAAACTCAATTGTAGTAGCCTGTACAGATATATTTAAGGTTGCTTTCTAGACCTGTGCTGCTTTACTTAAAACCATGGGCTCTTGGACCACTCTTTTACAATTTAAGAAACTTATTTAAAAGTAAGAAAACCTGTGTTCTAGTATGTTTACATTAAACATTCCTGTTTTGAACTGGAATGAAGCAGTCATATGCTTGAAAGTAACTTTCTGTGGAGAGGTGCTCTGCAGTCAGTAGCTATATCATTGATTGAATTCAAGGAAATTTGAAATCCTGTGGAAGAACTGTGAAGCTGGGCACTCTTGCTTTAGTGGCCAGGTTTTTAATGTAAATTTATCTTACAGAAAGGCTATTATTATAGCTTTAACTACACTACAGCTGGTTGAGAAAGAATGCCCATATGTTCATTGCTGTTTCTACTTTAAAATAACAGATGGTGAAGAGTTGCACTGTATTTCAGAAGTCAAAAGGGGGAATTGGAAGTTTTTTGCATCCTGACAGGATTACAGGGTCCCCTGTCTACACCCTATCTGAAGAAAATTAAAAAATAACTTACCAAGTTGTTTGCCAACAAGTAGATGCTTTCCTTTGCTGTCCTCACCCCTCAACTTAGTTCTAAAGCTGTCCTGCCTGTTTGATGTCACACCACTTCACTTCTTTGCACTTCGTAGTGCATGAACTCCACAATCAGAAACAGGAAAAGTTCTGTTCTTCATTTTAATATGTTGCAGTCATTGGAGATCTCTTAACCAGCAGAGTGCATAGTAGGTTAAAGTTTATTTTTGATACTGCAACACTAAAATTAAAAAATTCATTGTCCAGAGGTCTGAGCTAGAACTGTGAAGCTCAGTGTGGATGCTGAGTAGACCTAGCAAGACGATCTCTGTAATGAAAGTTACATATTTTAAGGCACCAAGCATATAGCTGTAATGCAGCTACAGCTGGGTACAGTGTAGGGCTTTCCTAGATGCGTTGTAGGCTTTCAAGGCCTCTTGTGTGCTATCAGCATGGACTATTTTCTCAGTAGGAAAATTAATTTAAGGTGTTTGTGCCCTGAAGCTCTCTTGGTATAGCCACAGAAAAAGGTTGTATGATGTCTTTAGGTGCAGAGCTAGGGCCTGGAATAATCTTGAACGTGTGGCACCGGAGACCTGTTTGCTTACACAGGTATCTTGATTCCTTCAGGGTTCTAGTAACAAAATTGTGGTTTTATAAATAATATTTAGCTGCTGAGTGTTATAATTACAGAATTTTTAATGAGTATATTAGCTAAGAATTGAAACTTGGAAGAGAGAATTATTAGGAATAAGAAAAATATAGAATCCACAATAATAGTGACTAAAATGGTTTTGCATTAATCTTTAAGAATTAATCAGTATTCTTTCTAGAAGTATTATTATACTGATAATATTTAATTATTATTTAAGTATGTTAATATTTTTCAGTAACTAATTTTTTGAAAGAATACTTGCTCGCAGAAACAGAGGAAGAGAAAAGTCTTTTGGACCTGCCTAATTATAAACAAACACTTATGCAATCATGAGATTGAATTTTCTCTCATTGGAGGGCAACAAAATTAATATGGCACTTAAGGATGTAAATGTAGTGAAAACACTTCTAGCATATTTGGATTTACTTTTAAGATCATGCGCTCTGTGCATTTAGAAAATCAATGCACAGCTAAAAATTACTTGGAATACATCGTTTGTTGCAATATATAGTCTTTATTGTTTGATATTTTCTACTCTTTGAAGCAAGTGATACTCAACTTTGTAAATAGTATTACATAGTATTTCTAGCTAAAAAGGTTATAAAGTGATTTAAAAAAAAAATCTTATTTTCCAGTAGTCAATTCTCTATCCTGTTCTTTCCCTTCTCCACTTTCCTGAAATATGTCTTAACTATTAGGACTACATTCAAACAAAACCAGAACACAAACAAGAGAAGTGAACTCCATTACTTCTTCCAGTTGTTTTATTAGACCGTGAAATGACTTTATAATGATTTGGATTCCTGCAGGAATGTCCTAAAGAAGTTCTTAAAGAAAGCTTTGTGTTTCTGTATTTATTTTTATTTTTGCTTGGTGTTTGTTCTTTTGTGTGTCTCCTCTATTGCTAGCTTTCCCTAAATGAAAAATTATGGCGCAGGCCTTGGAAAAGGCTATCCGATGTACAGTATTACTGAAATCACCTTTTTGTGTTAACAAAGTGTATTCTGGTAAATGGTAAGCTCCTGGTATGGACCTGGTAATGTTGTTTTCAGTGACTGTAGGCAGATGGTTGGCACTCAGGGGGAGAGTAAAAAAACAAGCACAAAAAGACTCCTGAACTGTAATCAAATTGTTAGATGGAGTGTAAAGCAATGGCAGTGTTAGGGGGTAGAAGTTGGAAGGCGAGCTGTGTTTACCTAGCTGTAATGTGACAGTTTCTGGCTGGTAGCTCTGGGTGTCTAGAAGGGGAAAGGATGGGATGGGTCTGGTTTGGTTTGGGTAAAAATAAGTATAAAATTTTGCCTCTTGGTTTTTGGGGTGAGTGGGAATAAGAGCCATCAGCTTTATGTGAGCAGTCAAGATAGCTGACCCGGCGTACATTTGCAGCAACACTGCAGTGCAAATTTAGGTCAACCTAATTTAAAGTGATTTCAAAGGGTCATTTTGAGACTTTTCTTTATCAGCATGACTTGTGAGACAAATTGTTCTTGTTATTCATCAGTTACTTCAGTTATGATTACTTTTTTTGTCATGTTTCCCTACTCATTATTTTACTTCATATCAATGACATTTTTAAAGCAGTCTTATGAAAAGGTTTTTTTGAGGAAGGAGACACTAATAAAATTGACTAATATTTGGATGTTCTAAAAGAAATAGACTGATATTTCATACGAATATGTAAATGCTGTTCCTTTACCTTTTCTTTTCAGGTGGATCACCTTATTTAGCAACAAAAATAAATGAAGCAAAAGACTTGTTGGAATCCAGTGCCAAAAATTGAAATATTAGGCCTTGCATCACAGGATGATTAAAAAAATAATAATAAAAATTTTTTAAAAAATTAAAAGAAACAGCTTTTTACCCATCTTACTGTGGAAGATCCAGTGGATGCATAGTGCAACAGCTTTCCTATCTGCTTGTTCTGCACAGCTGCTGAAAACTACAGGCACTGTTTTTATTTATTGTCATGATCAAAAATTAAAAACTACGTAAAAGTAAATGAAATATTTTAAATGTGATGTGTCAGTTTTAGTGCATTGTTACTAAGTTGTGTGTATGTGGTTTTTATTTTTTTTAAGCAGTAGGTTGTCCTTTCATGTAACTTTTGGAATATTTAAAAACTGAAAATTTAATAGCCTGATTTATAGGCTTTTCATTCATAGATGAAGGCTTGACTGTTGCCAGAAACTCGGTGAGTCAAAAGAAGTAGGGCAGAACCCTATGGTGAAATTTCAGCATCAGCTACATTGGAATGTTCATTTGTGAAATGGCGGGGTTTGTTCATGGTGTGGTTGTGGAGGTGCAACGTGGAACTAAAATGACTGAAGCCTGTAGTCTCACTAATTTCTGTTAGCTCTGTATATGGGACTCAGAGGAAGAATCTTGATTTTTTTGCCTAGATCTCTGGAATTGTCAAGTAATTATGTGAAACATGTTTTTGTTTTCCTTGAAGTCATTGAGTAGGATCACTCTGTAGAAGTACAGGGATTTTCATGGCTGTAGAAATGAAGAAGGTAGGTCCACATGGCATGGGGTCAGATAAATATGTTTTGTAGAATGTTGATTTCTAGATCATTCTAGTCTTGTCAGCCTGACATAAGCTTGATACAGCAGGGAGCAAACGTGTCTGGACCCCTGCTGATAGTTACTTTGGTTATTGCTCTGTGTAGACTTACTGTCCTTTCTCTACACTATGCCCCATGCCCTAAAGCATCATACCTGCCTCCTTATGCAGCAGCCTAATTCTGGGAATACTGGGAATGCTGAAGCCGTGCATCTCTTGCAGTTGTGTCTGTATGGCATTTGATGCACCGGCTCCTGCAAATTCCAACCAGGAACCTGGTTGCAAATGAGTTAACTCAATGAGACATCGGTCTAGTATATTCTGGGTAAGATGAGAAAACTTCCTAGTATCCAGTCAAAATAGTGGCATTTTAGGTACAACAAATAACTTTTTGAAGAGCTATAGGTAGAAAGTTAAATAGCTTATTTTCCTGTGTTATTTACGTAGAATTCTGGATGATTAAATAAGTATCAAACCACATATTACTCCCTGGGACATGTATGTGCTTGACCATCCGGGGGCAGATGTCTGAAAAGTTACAGATTTTTACCTTGGAAGGAGGAAATTATATGACTTTAATAATAAAGTTTCCTTACTCCATTAAAGAGGAAATTATGGAGAAAGTTTAATTAACCTGGAAATAAAATGAGAAGTTTTAATAGTTTAAATACAAGTACCTGAGGGGTGAATGTGAGGAGGATGGGGCCAGACTCTTCTTGGTAGTGGCCAGTGACAGGACAAGGGGTAATGGGTACAAGTTGAAACACAGGAAGTTCCATCTCCGTGTGACAGAGAACTTCTTTCCTGTGAGAGTGCCAGAGCCCTGGAACAGGCTGCCCAGAGAGGTTGTGGAGTCTCCTTCTCTGGAGATCTTCCAAACCCGCCTGGATGCCACCCTGTGCCACGTGCTCTAGGTGTCCCTGCTGGAGCAGGGGGGGTTGGACTAGATGATCTCTAGCAGTTCCTTCCAACTTCAACCACCCCGTGATTCTGTAGGCCTTCTTGACAATTGAGAGTTTTGAGAGTTGGGTGACACATCTTGACTGGATAAATCAACAAAGGCCACAGGGAAAAACCTGCTGGCAGAATGGGTATGCACTATGTGTGTACTGCAGTTCTGCTGTTTAGTTGCTGCTCTAATAGAAG